TTTTTTATATCTTTTTATATCTACAGTATGTCTATATCTCCGTTTGCTATGAATCACCTAATTCCGTTTGAACAATGAATCACCTAATTTTTGTTCAGTATAAAATAACTAAATAATTTAATAAATTGGCTTTGTTCATTTATGCGATTCTTATCCATGTTTATTTAAATGACCCCATGACAATTCTACCAAATTTAGGCTTTCTGTGAGTTTACATATTATGAACCGGATTATTGAAATATGGTAATTTTTCTTTAAAACTAACTCGTATTTCAACAATTTCTGTTGCTTTAAATATGCAGAATCTGGCAAATGGAATAGAAAGAAGTACAACATTTAGAACAGGATAAGCAAAAACTTAGAAATTTTGGAACCAGTGAAGGATTAAAGCAATAGGTAAGTTTATAAAATTCTATTTAGAAAATATACTCTAGTGAATGGTTAAAACATTATTATCCACGTGGATGTCCTTAATGCGATTTAAACTTTGTTAGCATTCTTGATGTTTTTATATGTAAATAATCTATTCTGGTCTTGCGTAAATATTACATAGTTTTTTTTTATTTGATTTGTTTATTTCAGTAACTGACTTTATTTTTTATAGAAGTTAAGAGTTAAAAATAATAATTTATTCTATTTTAAATGGCAGGTTATATAAATTTATACATAGAAGAAGAATAGTAATGACCTTGGTATAGAAGAAAGTCTGAAAATGGTGACAAAAAACTTTATATTGCTTTTGAGAATATGAACAATGTTTACAGAAATTTTCTTGAATATGAACAATAAATAATATTTATTGTTTAGATGCCCAACACAACAATCTCAGGTCAAATACAAAAGAATTGCCGTACCGAAAAGGAATTCCGATTTTAGTTAATTTATAATATAGGATGCAATAGGACAGTCGATTTTTAGCCAATTTATAATATAGAAATCACCATTCGGTACAGCGATTCTTTTGTATTTAACTAGTGAATGTTATTTGATATTCTTTTACCGTAGTTTCTTTACTAGAATTGTGAAATGGATACTACATTACAAATATTGTTACTAGTGAATGTCCATTATGTTTAGATTATATTTGGAATGGTTCATTTCATGATGTTTACAAGCATTTTCAAGTAGCAAGAATTTTTCAATGGCACAAGTGAATAAGTCAAATGTGATGCAAGAAACAAAGAAAAATTCTGTTAATTATTTCAAAACAATTAAAGAATAGTGCTTCTGATCAAAGAAACAATATAATTTACTTTGGATCCACAGGTGAGATGTATGAAGAAACAATTGTCTCTTGATACTGAAGGTATTTTAGTATTATAAAATTTAATATTTTTTTGATAATTAATGCATTTAGAATACAAAAATCAAACTTTTTGTAATAATATAGGAACAAAAATCTTTTATTCTTCAACAAACAATCAAATATTTGCAAGAGCCAAGTCCATAGTAATACTGAATCATCTGCAAAGTCATGGAAACCAAGTCACATATTTATGTCAATTTTTCAAAAGATATACAGTAAATTAAGAAATTTCAACATGAAAAAGGAAAACGAGTTGCAGACAAATAGAATGTGATTCAGAAGTAATTTATTTTTGTATAAAATTTTAAAGTTATAAATAATTTAAATTTCTTTCTTTATATATAGAATCAATACAAAGAAACCATTAATTCTGATCCAAATAATCAAAGATAGACTCTATTGAAACTGCTTCAAAATAATTGATTATTCACCAATTACAACAGATTTATCTTTTATTTAAACTTAATAAATTAATAGTGATTTATCTGAATCAACTGTTGTTCCTGAAATACAAATCAACAGCGCAAGAACTTAAACCAGTTACTATTGCATCTAATCCACAATTTACATCTCAATATAAAACTAATGACTTAAAAATTACACACTGTAAGTCAATATGTTTTGAATATTATTAAAAACATTAAATGTAGTAATTTTTTAAAAAGTTTAACAATAATAAAAAATAATATGAAATAAAACTATATAAAGTTTGAATATTTTTAAAAATTATAAAATAAATAAGGAGAATTTAGTTAAAAGAGAAATTTCACAAGGAAAATAAAGTCAGTTGAATTGATGTTGTCATGATTGTTTCCTCTACAACCCACTTATGGTTCTTTTAATGAGGTTACAGCCCTTTCTCATAGGTACATTTTGGTTATTAAGTTTAGAAAGCACTAGTTTTTAGATATACTAACAAACTATTATTTATTTCTTCTATGTAATTATTTATGAGTCTCTAAGTTTATCTGTGATTCTTCTATTTAAATTATCTGGCTTCTATTCTCTTTAATTTCGTCTTTATTCATTTTACCCAAATAATCTTTTGTTACTTTATATAGGTCATTTCAATACTTCTTTCTTCAAAATAATTCAATACATTTCATACAGTTTCATTCAATTCATGTTACTAAGTCAAATTGATATACTTATTCTGATTTATTTGTTACATTTATACGTGTTAATTTTACAAGTTGTTTCTTGAACTACTTGACAACCAACTTTCTATGTACTACTGTGCCTAAATACTATTGGTTTATTATATATCATATGACTTGTTAAATAAAATAATATTACCTTTTTCACATTAAATTTCCCTCTTAACTATTGCTAAACTATTTCTAACAATTTGTTAAACTCCAAAAAGCGGAAATTAATTATTAAAATAGTAGTATATAGATAATTTTCTTAATTAATATATCATAGGTGTTTCTCATTCAACCTACTTACAGTTCTTATCAGTTAGTTCTAGACATAACAAACTATAATTTATTAGGTCTCTATTCTTTCAGGAAATTGGGCACAAATCTTTGGATTCATCAGATCAGTTATTTCTCCATCCCTTTGGATTATTTATGTTTTTAATCTCATTTGATGGATTCTCTATCTTTTCATTTCAAATCATATCCCTTTTTTATATAGGATATTCCAATACTTCTTTATTCAAGTTTAATTCAATCCATTTTTATATAGGTTTATTTGATTCATTTTATTAAAGCCAATTTAATAATTCTATTCCAGATTAATTTACAAGTTATTTTCTTGAAATTATATTAACTGTCGGCACAAAGGGTTTTATTTATCCTTTTATGATTTTTATTTTTAATGTATTTATTTATTTGATTTTTAATTGATTAAAGAAAGTGATGCTATGTAAATAATTTCCTTTTCAAAGAAAATTCCTTAATATAGTATTCCCACACTAGTGATATTATCCTATATTCTAATCCTAAATGATTATATATTGTATTTCATACTTGTGATCAGGAGTTGAAGATTGAAGATTGAGGTAAAGGTAATAAATAGAAGGGAAAAATTTTACCTCACGAATGGAGGTTGATTAAATATTTTTTCCTTTGTTTTTGAATATCAAAAATCAACAGAATCATAAGGTAATAAGATTGCAAAAGATAATGTTGAAACAAATGATATTAATGAAATTCTGGTCACTTGAATTTAACTTGGTTCGAATGCATTCATCTACAGCAAATGCATCCTTTTCAAGTGATCTAATTTAATATTATCCCAATTATTGCACATATTAAATGCTACATATTCTTGCCCTTTTTCAACAAATGAAAGAATGTAAAAGGAAGAGCCTGTTGAGTTTCGTTTTTAACTACCCATATGACTAAGGTTGCCTGGCGAAACCTATTTTGCAATTTGGCAAAAGGTAAAACCTATGTTTTTCCAAAATTTTTACTATAATTTAATATAGTTTTACTGATTATATGTATTTGTTATAGTTTTGACTTTCGACAAGTTATACCTAACTTATTAATAAGTATTTAATAAGGTTTTGCCAAAGTTTTACCTTTTGCCAGTTTTCCGGGTTGGCAAAACCTTGGCCCAGAAACCTTACATATGACAATCTTGAAAATTGCTAAATATCACCGCAGATGATTGTCACCACTGGACAAAATTAAATTTACGTGGATCAAGGAATTATAAAATTTTGCCTAGTGTAACAATCACTGCGGTTATATTTAGTAATACCCAAATTTCTTAATCAAACATTGCTAAATATCACCGCATGTTATTGGCAAAATTCCTTGATCTTTGCCCAGTGATGACAATCACCTGCGATGATATTTCTTTAAACATTACAATTATAATTTTTATTTTATTTTGATTGCATTCGAATATTTTATATATCAGTCGCCGCCATATGATTAAGATTTATACACATGATTAGTTGTATAGTTTATTTATGTTAATTCTAATAAATAAATTATTATTGATTTATTGACACGTGATAATTTGTTCTTGGAGTTGTTTATAAATCACTTGTTATATTGTGTGATTCCCATTTATTTTTATTACAAACATTACATTGATAAATTTAATAGATGCTTCGTTTTTTCATGTTCATTTCGTCAATGTACTCTTATTGAGAAGTTCAAACTCTTAAATAATCTATTGATTGTGAACAGCAACCCCAGTCTGTAGAAATTCTGGTTAGTGAATTGGATAATAAGACATTTTGTACACTATTTATTAAAACGAAAATACTAGATGAATTTAAGGCTAACATCCATCTGTTAGCTTAAGAAAATAGTTTTTTCTTTCAACAACCCATCTTTAAAAGAATATTTTCTCAAGGATATTATTACAACAATAATTTATCCAGTATGATTCACTATATGTAATTTATATATAAACGTTTTTATTTTTATTTCTATTGTTACTATCTTTACTTTTATATTATTTTACATCCTTTCTTAATTGCAATTATAATAAATAAAAATGTTTAATTAAAATATTTTCTTTTTAAGTGCTTATCATACGTTATGATTATCATATATCGAAAAGTTGTAAATGAATAAAAGAAAGAAAAGACAATAAAGAAAATGATGATGAATAATAAAGTAATCATAAAAATAATAATAATAAATAAATATAAATAGTATAAATAATAATAATAATAAAGCCAAAAAGTTATCAAAAAAATAAAAAGGTAATAATGGGTTGGATTTTAAATAAGTTGATAATTTGGGAAATATTCTGTTGCAGCATCGGAATCAGCTGTATACATATATTCTATATATTTAGTGTCACTGTCAATTAACGAAGTAGGTGCCACGGATTCCAAATAATTTAAAGAATTCATAGAATACATCGAAGAAGTCTCATTATATGAATTCATATCAATATTATTATTCGCAAAAGACGCTTCAATATTGTAATTGGTATTATCGTTAATATTGTAAATATTATTATAATCAATATAATCAATATAATTAATATTTTCGTTAATATCATTATGAATATCGTTAATATAATCGTTTATGTTATTACTATCGTGAATATCGTTAATATTGTTATTATTATCATTATTATTATCGTGAATATCGTTAATATCGACGACAGACGTGAACTGCATAAGCAAATGATCGTTATGATCGTTACGACCGTTATGATCGTTATAATGTTCGGGTTTATGTGAAGTGTTGACTTCAGAAAATTCATTATTGAATTCAATAAAAGTATTTTGTGAAGTAGTACTCGTGGAAAACTCGTATGAATCATCACCTTTATTAATTTTGTTGGTTTGATTGTCTTTGCTTGGAACAAAAGTTTTATGAAAAACCCAATCATTATTACTGCTCGATCTTCTTTTGGGAGTATATTTATAATCTGGAAACATAATTTTATGCTTTGCGAGAGCCAATTTAGAAAGAATTTCAAAATATCTCTTGACTTGGGGTGATTGAATTTTCCATTCATCACCAGCATTTATAGAGACTGTCTTCATTTTAAATAATTGATCCGGAAATTGAATTCGTTTATTTGCTTCATAATCTTTTCTAAATAAGACCCAAGCATTTTGTGGTCGAGGAATCTTATTAATTTTATTTTTACGATTTCTACGAGCTGGTAAAAGTAGTGAGTCAAGACTAAGTGTGAGTTTGTACGGAGGATTGAGAATTAATTCATGATCTTGGTTTTTAAAACCTAGATCTTGCAAGTTATTTACATAATTTAAAATATCATTAATGTTTATGACGGGATTTTGGGATGGAGACTGAAGTAATGGATCATTAAAATTATTCTGATTCATTTTATGTCGGATTTGTCAGATTTAATCTTTTAAAATTTGTCATATTTATATTAAAATCATGATTTATAAACTATATACAATAATTTGTCATTTATTTTTTTTATGTCTGTATTTTTATGTTTATTATGTGGTTCTTATGCAATCAACACGACAACGTACATCGTACATCGTTAACAATAAAAAAAATTCCAAATTTGAAAGTGTTGAGAGTGACAATTGAACAAAGTGTCTTACAATTGGTTCACTTTCTTTTAGAAAACTTTATATTAAATTAAAAAAAAAAATAATATTTTTTACAGCCGATCTTTATCTTTATTTTATAAAGTTATGATTACTGCGTTAAAATTAAAATAAATAAATAAATATATATATTATTTATCTCAATTTTAATTCTTTTGAGACATTCCGAGTCTTCTTTTGGACGGACTATCTCTCTTCCTTGAGATAATTTTGTAGTGGGACAGATGATAAATATTTTTGATAAAAAAAAGATTTTAAAATCGATAATGATAATAGTTTAAGTAAGAAATGGAATAAACAATTTACTAGAATAAAACAATTGTGATAATAATGATCATATTTTATAAATATCTCTAGTGTTACGGAAGACCTTCTTAGAGCTTGAGCTAGGTATTGACCTTCAATTTCTTTTTCATATATCTAAGATAATTCTTCAAGGTTTTACAATTTAATATCTTTATTTTTTTTTTAAAAAAAAAAAAATAGAAACCGAGACATTTTTTCTAAATCGATATTTTGCTAGTTTGTGCTTTTTCTTGGAACCTTTACAGAAGTTATGAGTTGTTTTTTTCAAACAGTATTTCTACTTACTGAAGTTGAATCCATTATGTTATAAAATATAGTGACAGGTAATAAATTAATGGCGAGAGATCGGCTAAAAAAGCGATTGTCTCCGTTTTAGTTCCAAAATAAAAAAAATAGAGAAAACACTTGGTTTATAGGTCTCGTGCTATTACGATTCTGATGTGCTGACACATAAAAACTTTTTCCTAGATTTTATTTTATTTATTTTTTATACACAAACTCTATACGTTCTTATGTTAAATTTAATGCTGAAGAAATACTGTTCGTGACTTCTAAGATTTGGATGACAGAAAAATGCGGAAGAAGATTACGATGCAGCATTGTTTGCTCTTCTCTTTTAAAAAACCAATTGGCAAAGAAGATAATGCTGTAAATGAAGACCTTGAAGGAGTATTGGGTGCAATTGAAATGAGAAGATGTTGACCCAGGGCTCTACGCAATTATCCTAACGTTCACCATTCACCATAAATTATTTTGAGTATCACAAATCAAGCCGCAAGTAAGAAATTGAAAGTTAATACCTAGTTCAAGCTCTAAGAAAGTCTTCCATAACACTAGAGGTATTTATAAAACATGATCCTTATTATCACCATTGTTTTTATTCTCCCTCTCTAGTAAATTGTATGATATTATTATTATTCACACACCCTCCATTTCTTACTTAAACTATCGATTTCAAAGTTTTGCTTTTTACTATCAAAAATACTTATGATCTCATTACAAAAAATTATGAGGATCGACCGTCCAAAAAGAATGTGCTATGCAGAAAGTCTAAAGACATCACACTTTTTAAATTGTTACAACTTTGTATCTAAATATAGAAATTTTTTTTAAAAAAAATACGTTATTTAATAGCCTTAGATAATCTCTTTAATTTAATGTATGTTTTTTTGATATAAATTATTGATTTATTAAAGTCTGAAAATGATGTATTATCTTTTACATTAAAACACGTGAATTAATATGATAAAATTTATTTGATCGTATGAAATTCATGTGACATAAATATGACTAGTAGCTTAGTACGTGATATCTTGATATCGTTAGACTTTCTGCACGTTGTTTGATTGCATAGGAATTAAATAAAAACATGATTTTTTAAACATATGACAAATTTTAAATGACATCTAACAAAATGAATCGGAATAATTTTAATAATATTAATGATCCATCCCGTTAAAAACATTAATGATATTTTAAATTATGCAAATAACTTGCAAGATCATGGTTTTGAAAACCAAGATCATGAATTAATTCTCAACCCACCTTATCAACTCACACTTAGTCTTGACTCACTACTTTTACTGGCTCGTAGAAATCGTAAAAATAAAATTAATAAGATTCCTCGACCACAAAATGCTTGGGTCTTATTTAGAAAAGATTATGAAGCAAATAAACGAATTCAATTTCCGGATCAAATATTTAAAATGAAGACAGTCTCTATAAATACTGGTGATGAATGGAAAATTTAATCACCTCGAGTCAAGAGATATTTTGAAATTCTTTCTAAATTGGCTCTCGCAAAACATAAAATTATGTTTCCAGATTATAAATACACTCCAAAAGAAGATCGAGCAGTAATAATGATTGGGTTTTTCATAAAATTTTTGTTCCAAACAAAGACAATCAAATCAACAAAATTAATAAAGGTGATGATTCTTACGAATTTTCCACGAGTACTAATTCACAGAATACTTTTATTGAATTCAATAATGAATTTTCTGAAGTCGACACTTCATATCAACCCGAACATTATAACTGTCATGACTGTCGCGATCATTTGTTTATGCAATTACAGTTCACACCACATGCGTCTGTCGATATTAACGAGATTCACGATAATAATAATGACGATATTAACGGTTATATTAACGATATTCGCGAAAATAGTAACGATAATAATAACAATTTTAACGATTATATTAACGATATTCATGAAAATAACAACGATATTAACATTAACGATAATAATATTAACGATTATATTAATTATATTAATTATATTGATTATAATAATATTAACGAAAATATTAATTATATTAATTATATTAATTATAATAATACTTATAGTATTAACGATGACACTAATTACGATATTGAGACTTCTTCTATGATGTCTATAAATTCTATGAATTCTTTAAATTATTCGGAATCCATGGCACCTAGTTCACTAATTGGAGGTAACGCTATTCCCAAATATATGTATGATAATACTGCTGCTGATTCTATCGATGTTACAACAAATTATCTTATTTTTTTTGATAACTTTTTGGCGATTTTATTATTTAGCTTTATTTATTATTTATTATTCATTATTATATATATATTATACATTATTTATAGTATTTATTCACCATTATTATTTTATGATTACTTTCTTTACAATTCATCATTATTATCATTTTTTTTTTATCTTCCTTTTATTCGCCATCTTCCCATCGCTTACGTTTACAACTTTTCGATATGATAATCATAACGTATAATAAGCACTAAAAGAATACATTTAAGAGATAAAAATATATAATTAAGCATTTTTTATTTATAATGACAAGGACAAGGTGCAATTAAGAAAAGGATGTAAAAGTAATATAAAAGTGAAGATAGCAACAATAGAAAATAAAAATAAAAACGTTCAGAATCACAAATTATATACATATAATAGAAATCATAAATTACATATAGTGGTATTGTTGTAAAATATTCTTATAAAAGATGGGTTGTTTTCTTGAAAGAAGAAAACTCGTTATAATTATCAATTATGTATTTATTTTACAGACTGGAACAGGCTGGAGGGTGCTGTTCACAGAAGAGATATACTCAATATTATTTAAGAGCTTGACTCTCAATAAGAGACATTGACGAAATGTGAAAGAACGAAGAATCTAATAAATTTATCAGTGTAATGCACGGGAATCGCACAATAAATTTTTTAAATAATAAACTATTAACTATTCATTTCATCTTTAATATTAACAAGCTCGCGTTCGTTCAAATCTACGAGTTATTGATGGATAATTTTCAATGATTTACGAATTTCGGTTGACAAAAATCATTGACTATAAGATTGCCTGATGTCAATAAATTTAAAAAATATGCCCTTTATGAAAATTATTATTTATAAAATTTCTTTATATTATTCATTAAATCTCTTAAAAAGTGGCATTTTAAGCTAAATAGATTCGATATTACTACTAAGTCTAATCCGAAAAATCTATGTGTTGATGTCATAAAGTTTTTTCCTGTTTGGTGCCTTTTTCATGACGTGCTTGTCACGAATTTCTATTTCATTCTAGAAAACAAGGATTATCTTTGCCTTTATGATCCGCGTGACAAATGCATAAAATAATGCGGACTAAACATCAGGTTATATCCTAACCTTTCTTGGCAAAGTTGATGATAATTCTTGTGGATACGCTTGGCATCCTACCAAAACATACGAAACAAGAAGTGTTTTTTACCTACCAAACACAAGTGTTTCTCGGCAGAAAAACTTGTTAACACATGTTGGATGAGGTAATAATTTTGAACCAGTGACTGAACATAAAAAAAAATGTGCAACACTGGTTTCGTAGGTGGCGAAGCCGAAAAAACACGTGTAATACGTGTTTCGTAGGTCGAAGCCGAAAAAACTTGTTTCGTAGGTAGTAAAGACGAAATCTAAGCTGAAAAACATGTTTCGTAGGTGGAGAAGTAGTTATGGGGACTTGTATTGCAACCGATTTTTATCGACAAGCTTGTATGTTAGTAATAATATTGACCAAAATAGTCTATAACTGAATGATTAGAACATGTAATGCTTTGTTACTTCACAGGAAACTTGTATTATAATCATCGCAATTAAAGCGGTTATCACAAAAAAAAAATTCCGAATTTGAATCTTGAATCTTGAACTTGAAACAAGGTGAGTTCTGCCATTGGTTTATTTTTATTTGCATTATAAACAAAATCATTGAGGTTCGATGTTTATGAACTTCTTTTTTTGTTCATAAAAACATGAAAAAAAGATTTTCATCGTTGTATTAATATTATAGTTTTAATTGCGGTACTTTCATCATTAATTCTTTTTTCACATTCACAGATTTTTCTTGGTTTAATCTATAAAGTTTTCTTCTGAATGACAAAAATAAATCACTTTTATAAAAGAAATAAGATCCACAGGATATTTTCTAATTTCTTTCGTCGAGGGAAGGGAAGAGTGAATTCATGATTACTATATCAAATATGTTACGCAGTCAAAAAACAAAAATTAACGCGGGTTGTGCTATAGTTGTACGAGATCAATTTTCGATTCAATTTTAAAATTTCCCTTACTAACAATTTCTCACGTAAATAATTAATGAATATTATGAATATTAGAAAAGATTAAGAACTTATATTTCACCTTTTAACATGCATAATGTGTATGGAGATTCAAGTTTTATTATATAATTATTATTATTGTAATTAAAAAATATGCAAAAATCAATGTTTGAATATATATAAAATATTTGATTGGTAAAAATAATAAAAGTAATAAAAAATTATCTTTTAAAATTATTTACCTTTCTCACTTAACATTATTCTTATAACATTCCTGTAATATTCTTGTAACATTATTAAAACATTCATTTATCGTTCTTCGCACCAATCATTTTCACATTTCACTTGTTCTTCTTCTTCTGGTGTAAAATCATTTTCGATATTGAAAGTTCTACGAATTTCGTCGGTTGATTTCCCCCTAATCATATTGGCAACAGTTTTACAAGTAAGATCAAGAAGAGGTTTTATATCTAAATAATTGGCCGCCTGAAAAAGAAACAAACACAAATATTTTTAATATAGATGTAATATAAAATAATATCAAATTTAAATAAAAAATAAATAAATAAATTATTCAAACTCACCAAAATTAATTCAAACAAAGTTCCTTGATCCACTTTACAAAATTCTGCATCCCAATCATCGATATCTTCCGATCCTTTCTTATTTTCATCTTCGTAATAAACCGGCGGATCATCTTTATGATGTGTACAATACTCTATAACTTTTGTAAGTATGGGTCCGGTAACATTTGGTAATGGTATCGCTATATTATAAATTTGAATTTATTAATCTGATATAATTTAATATATATATATTATTGGGTAATGCTAAAGCTCACCGGTGGTGATTGTCACCGCCAAGCAAAATTACATAATTCCCTGATCAACCCCTAACCCTAACTTTGCCCACGTAAATTTAATTTTGCCCAGTGGTGACAATCACCACTGGTGAGCTTTAGCAATTTTCTATATAATTTCAATAATTTTAAAATACACTCCTCCCCAAAAAAAAAAATAATATAAAAATAAAGAAATAAAGAAATAAAATTTAATTCTTACCGCAATCACTTTCTCCAACGTCATCCAACATATTCTTCAATAATATAGATCTTTCTGCTACATTCCTATCTACTTGAAATTCTGTTCCTTCAGAAGAAGCTAATTTAACTCTCTTGACTTCAGTTACCATATTGTATTATAATAATTAGTGATATAAGTAATACTTGTCAATTTTGTGTGTATATTTATATATAAAAAGAATTACACGAAGTATATATAAGGTATATATGTATATATGAATTCATGAGAACTTTCTAAACTTCACGACAAAGAAATTTAATAATATGTATGATATTATTTTATTATTTATTCATTTTAATCATTTAAGGATATTCAATGATGATTGGTAGTTTTAATGGATTAGTAATTGATTGATGTTATCCAGTTTAGTATACAGATAATAACTTAGCTGGCCCGCTTATAAACTTATAACACAAAGGTCAAATTAAATATTTAAGGCGAAATACTTAATAATACTACTAATACTAAATAGAATTTGGTATTACACAAAATTATTTCGCCTACAATTTATATAAGACATTATAACGTTAATTTTTTTTTTTTTTTTTTTTTTTTAGCCGAAATAAAAAAAAGCATGATTTAAGACTGACTCTAATGTTTTGTAAACTAACTAAATTAGTAAAACTAATGATAACTATCTAAATTAGTAAAACTGATGATTGAATAGGTTGATAACACAAACAACAATAACTGTATATATCTGTGTGTTAGGGTAAAGGAGTTGGAGAGTCAGACTTGTTTGACTTCGACACACAGATCTGGTGAGTGAGCCCATTACTACGTTCTCAACAAAACAAAAAACTTTTTTACCCTTCGCTTTGTGAACTCTTTTTTTCTTGAGCATTTTTGTAAAAAGAAAAACCGTTCGCTTAAAAAATGATTGAAAATACACTTATCGCTTGTGAACCATTTAAGAATTAAATCTACAGGAAACCAATATTAAAACTTAAAAGAAACTGTACTTGTCTAAAAACCATAAAAAAAAAAATAATACTTTTGTTGCCTGACTATTTGAGTTTATTGGTTATCTTTTATTTTTTCTTCATTTCCTCTGAAGACTTTATATTTAACTTATTACATCTGAAAAATATACTCTCTAGTTCTAAACACTGCTTATTGACGAACCTTGTACTTTAGTTTTTGTTTGTTTTTTTCTTTCTATATATAAACTTTCCCCTTTTTTTTTTCACAATGAGAACCGTCGGGTTTTTCTAACTTTGACCAACCATCATAAACTAAACCTACAAGATTATAAACCTCAAGAAAACATTATTACATATAAGCATAACAAAGCATGAAATCTCACCTTTTTTCACTTTTTTTTGACCTTTGGATCCGTTATAATTCTTGTGTAGAACAGATAACCTTGTTCTACAACAAATACTCCTTGCGCCTTTTTCATCGATAGAAGCCAACACAACTTTCTCTCTAATTCATCAATAATCTTAACGCAAAAAAAATGAACTCTAAACGACGTGCCGAACATTCTGACGATGAAGGACCTAAGCACAGTCGAGATAAATTTACGCGTGAACGTAGAAATAGTGTTGAACGTAGGGACGTTCGAGACAGAGATAGAGAACGGGACCGTGATAGAGATCGTGATAGGGAACGAGATCGTGAACGAGATAGAGATCGAGATCGTTCAATGTATAATGAGAGACGAGCAAAAAGAGAAAATTCTTCAGATGATAGAGGTATTTTTAATATGTTAATATTTAATTTATATTAATATATACTTAAACTCTCAAAAAAAAACACAATCAAATTCTCAATAATAAATTATAATAAATAATCAATAATAAATGATAATAAATAATAAATAATAGATGGAAATATGAATTATTTAGATAGACATCCTAAAAGAAGAAGATCGATCACATCGGATTCAAGGAGAGCTCCATTACCTGATGGAGGTGATCATTATATTCCAAATTATGAAAAGGAAGGTTATACACCTGGTCCTAGATATAACGGTAGACCTGGTGGTCCTACTGAAATGCGTTTCACACCACATGGATTCCCAGTCGGTTTACCTTTAGGTAATAATAATAATCTTATTCTTCTTCTGTCATGATCCGTGTAAGATTGAAACTAAATTACTATTTTCTTCGAGTTGTGATGGTGATGAAATAACGAAATTAGTCTGACATTTCACCAAACTAGATAAAAGTGTACAATAAATTTCTTTGTAGCAACTGTAGATTTAGACTTACATATATACAATAGTGCCATTCTTACATGGATCGCAACTTATATTATTATTGAAAAGTGAAAGAAATTTTAGTATAAAATTTTAAATATATTTTTGTAATTTTTATATGGTATAATGAATATTGTATATATTTAGGTTTCAGCGTTCCTGCACCTCCTATTATGGCTCCAGGAGGACTTATGCCAATGGATTGGACAACTCCTCAGGGAAGGTAAATCATTCATCTCATTTTTATATCAAATTTTTTTTTCTCCTTTTTTTTTAAAAAAAAAAAAAAAAAATGAAAAGTTATAAAATAAATTATTTTATTTATAGGCAAGAGCCATTAAAAGATCCCGAACAATTGGATTTTTTAGTGACATTCAAATATTTTGCAGAATTCCTTCAATCATCACAACCTAAAGTTCGATTTACCGATGATGATCTACACAAGAGATATAATGATTATAAGGAAATATTTGCTATCAAACAATTAAAATCATTTTTTGAAGTTCATAAAAAAGAGGAATGGTTCCTTGAAAAATATCATCCAAAATTTATGGAACCAAGAGTTATAGCGACGAAAGAATTGAAAAAGAAAAATTATCAGCAATTTGTAGCTGATATGAAAAAAGGTTTATTTGATAGTATTATTAATGATGTTGTCGAGGAGAGTATTATTAAAGATGAAATTAAAATTGAAGTAATTAAAACTGAAGGTTATTATTTTATTATTTTTTATTTATTTATGATTTTATTTATTTATTATCTTTAAATATTTTATTTATTTATTTAATTTATTTATTTATTTATTTATTTTATTTATTTACTCATTCTTTACTAAACAGAGAACATCACAACAGAAAAGAATGATGTTGACGAAGACGCCAACAGACTTTTTATAAAGAGTGTTTCTCCTAGTATTGCTAGACAAAAGATTGAAGATGTAAATTATTTTGAATTATGAATAATTTTATTAATTTGATTTTTAAAAGATTTATTTATTAACTTTAATATATTATTATTATTATTATTATTATTTTATTATTATTTTATTATTTATTTTATTATTTATTTTATTATTTATTTTATTATTTATTTTATTATTATTATATTGTTGTTTTTGTCCAACATTAATATAAAAGATGTGTAAAGAAATTCCTGGATTCAAATATCTCGCATTGTCTGAACCTAATCCACAAAAAAAATTTCATCGTTTGGGATGGATCGTTTTTGAGGAAGGAACTGATATGGATGATGCATATGAAAAACTTAATGAACAAAAGGTAAATAATATATACATGTGCACAACGACAACATACAATTGTAATACTAATGTAATAAATCATTATTTTTTATTTATGAAGATTGATGAATTTGTTTTTTACTTGGCTCGACACAAAAATCAAACTGGGCCAGTTCGTAATCGTACTACTCCAGATATAGCAAATAGTTCTGATCGTTTGAAAAAAGATTTAGCATCTGCCATTAAACTTGTTGAAAAGTTGGATAAAGATGTTGATGAATCATTTAATGGTGTTCAAGCAATTAAACAAAGGCTTGCGATCATTTTGGATAAAGTTATTAAGGTAGAAGTTAAAGAAGAAAATAATAAAGATGATAACGATGAGAAAGATAAGGATAATAAGGATAATAAGGATAATAAGGATAAAGAAGATGATGATGATATTGCATATGTAAGTAATGGAATAATTTGATGAAATGATTAATGAAATAAGTAATTACTTAATCGAATTATTTTTTTTTAGGTTAAGAAATCTTTAGATTTTCATCTCGAATATTTACGTCGAGCGCATCTCTTCTGTTATTATTGCGGTAGTGAATCTGATTCCGTAGAGGAACTTAATCGAAAGTGTCCCGGTAGACATTTAAGAAGTGTAGCTGGTTCAAATGATACGAAGTCAACTGGTAAATCTCAAAAGGAGAAACAAATTAATGGTAAGTAATATTTAACTTAATATTGGATATTTTGATAAAAATTTGTTAACTTTGCTACGATTAATAATATACGATTAATAGTATACGATGAATGTAGTAAGAAAATTACTTGAATATTTTTTATATCGTCATTTTGTTGTATTACTTTCATATATTATTTTTATTTTAATTTATTTTTTTTTTGTATTATTGTTAAATTTTATTTTCTACCTTTTTAATATATATACACACATACACATATATATATTAGCAACAACCTGGTTGAAGACTTTGGATCATAAAATTTATTACAAGACGGATCCATCGAAATTCGAATCCGAAATCGAAAAACACGGAGGACTTAATATTAAAAAGTAAGTTTACTAACGGTTATTATTATATTTTATTATCTTTTATTATTATCTTTATTATCTTTTATTTTCAGTTATTACTATTATTTGCTAATATCATTTGTTAATAATAATATTATTATTATTTATTATCTTTTTCAGAGTTATAGAAGGTTTTATTGAAGAAAATGTCGTTGAGTTAGAAACCGGTAAAAAATTTAAATGTAGTATATGTACCAAATTATTTAAGGGTGCTGATTTCGTTAAAAAGCATATCGATTACAAACATCACAATAAAGTTGAAGAAACCACGAACGAGGTAAATATAAATATTAAATATTATTATTATGTATATATAAATATAAAATGTAATAATAACAATAATAACAATAAAACTTACAATAATTTCTTTTAATAATTTATTTTAATTAGGCAAAATTCTATAATAATTATGTACTTGATCCAAATCATTTATTGCCTACAACTCCACCGAATCCTACCTCCACACTTAGTGGACCTACCAATGTATCACCTCTTCCACCTACTCCATTTCCTGTTATTCAAAATGCTGCTCCTCCACCATTTATGAATTTCGGATTTCCTATTGTTGGTGCCGCAGCGGGAACTCCTCATGATCAAATACCTAGGATTGGATTCGATGGTAGAGATGATAATAATAGTAATAATAGTCGAGGAGCTGGAAGTGGTGGAAGTGGAGGAAGTGGAGATAATCGAACAAGTAATAGTAGTAGTAGTCGGAGAAAACAATCTTCCCATTCTTCTTCTAGACCAAAGTAGGTTTGTTACTTATTTTTATTTTTAAATAATTCTGAATGGTTTATAAATTAATTAATTAGATAAAAAAAAAATTATTTCCGTTCAGGTTATTTTAATCACATTTTTTTTATATATTCTCTTCCCTCCGCATTTTAACCACATTTTTTTAATCACATTATAACCACATTATATATTAAAGTGATTTTAATGCGAGTTCAGATCCTCGACAAGTGAAATCTTATGTCGATTTGGATGCACCAGCGGAAGGTGATATCGAAATCAAATACTGAAGAATATTATTTGTGAAGATATGTATAGAGAGACAGAGAAGCAGTGTAAGATAGAGAGAGAGGAAGAACGAAGAGGTTCTACGTAGTATTTTCCATTTCTTCTTTTGTTCTTTAAACATATAATATCATATCATTGGAACTTTGGAATGTGAATTGAATAATTAACAACAACTACTACTATTTTTATTACTATTATTATTATTATTATTATTATTATTTGCTACTACTACTAAAATCGATTTTAATATATTCATTATCTTTTTTTTTTTTAAAAAAAAAAATAAAATATCGGTTTTGTTTTTTATAACTTAATACACCTGCCTGAATTCATATGAATTGACACGCAGGTGATGAAAAAATTTATTTTATTTTTTATTTTATTTTCAAAAGAAAAGATGGAAAAGGAATGATAATATTTTATTATTAGAGAGAATAATTAATTATTTCTAAGGTTGGTTTTGTTGAGAATTAAAAAGAATCCAATAATACAATATTATTATTACTTTATTATTATTATATTATTATTATTATTATTATTATATTATTATGATCATTATTCTTATTATTATTATCAATTAAAAATTATATATATTTATATATATTAATTATATAGTAGTAGTTGATTAAATTAATGGTGATGATAAATGTGAAGAAGATAAATGATTAAATTATTTTTAGAGAAAGAAACCTTTATTTTAATTGGAATGAATATTATTTTTATTACTTTGATCGAAATACACACATATACATACATATATATATATATATATATATATATCAACAGACAGAGAAAACAGAGATTTTATATAAATAAACACTCCTTTATTATTATATTATCATTTTTATATTATTTATTTGGTTATAAATATTTTTTCTGTATTAATAAACATTATTTATTATATAAAGTTACAGTAAGTTAATAAATTACATCATCGTCTCATAAAATGGAGGGGAAATAAATATAACAAATACAAATAAATATAGTAAAGACAAGGCAAAACCAAACCTTATTTATTTTTATTTATCGTTATTATAAAACAACCTTTAAGAAACAACTTTACCAACAATATTATATTTCCCCTTATAAAATTCATACCAATCATCAAGAACTTTTAACTGTAATAATTATTAATTTTAATTAATAACAGAATTTAATAACAGAATTTAATAACAGAATTTAATAACAGAATTTAATAACAGAATTTAATAACAGAATTTAATAACAGAA